TTTCTTTCTCTCTTTCTCTCTTTCTCTCTTTCTCTCTTTCTCTCTCCCTCTCTCCCTCTCTCCCTCTCTCCTTCCCTCCCTCTCTCCCTCTCTCCATCGCTCCATATCTTCCTCCTTCTCCGTCTCCCCCTCTCTCCTTTTCCCCTCTCCCCTTCTCCGTCTCCCCTTCCCTCCTTTTCTCCCTCTCTCCTCTCCCCTTCTCTTCTTTTCCCCTCTCTTCCCTCTCCCCTTCTCTTCTTTCTCCCTCTCCCCTTCTCTATATCCCCCTCTCTTCTTTTCTCCCTCTCCCCTTCTCCCATTCATTATATCCCCCTCTCTTCTTTTCTCCCTCTCTCCTTCTCTCCCCTTTTTCTATATCCCTCTCCTACGCATAACCAAACCGATCGATGGCAGGAGCCGATGATTTATAAGCGTCGATATAGTCAAAGAGGTGTTAATAGCAGAGCGACGATAAGTGATCGGAACACCTTTAACCTCAGTCCCACTTCGCCGTATAAGGAGTTGGATCGTTTTCACTGCCTAATATAGCTATGGCATCGGATCGGTAGGAGGACTTGCTCTTTGTCTTTCTCTTCTTATGTAGCGTGGCGTGGAAGTCATTTTAACGAGGACATTTGCATTTCTGTTTTGTTATTGTTTTTTATTTCTTTTCGCGAAGGGCAAAAAGGACTCATATATATGTATATATTTGTGTGCGATGTTAGATATAGATATTGAATATTGTCATGTTAAAAATGACAGTAAATATTAGAGAAATAGTAAGGTCCTATTCGCACATTTATTTTATTGGGTCGAGTGGTATACTGGGTTTAATTTATTCTGGAGTGGTAGCATTTCGAATCCAGGTCATGAAGCGATGTTATTCATCTATATCGGTGCGTTATTATAGTATTCCACCTTTTATTAAGATGTATTGCTTTCTTTTCTAAACAAAAACGAATATTGCCCAAGAGCTACGACGAATTTCGTTATCTGGAAAGAGGTAACGATAAAAAATATCTAAATTTCCAACACTCATTTTTTTATCACGCCATTTGACCTTTGACCTCCGCCTATGTCCGACTGACCTGATTTCCACCTCCCACGTCCAGTTTGACCTGGGACCTCCGCCCGCCCGCACCGCCTTGTACTGGTCGCCTCCTCACCCTCTCTCACCTGTGCCTTATGGGCCTCATTTATCATCTTTCTCCCGTTTCTCCTTTTATACTTTCTCTGCGTTAGGGTACTAGACTCTTCTTAATTATTGTTTATACACTTTTACTTCCTACTGGACCACATGTCATTGGTATTATTTATGATATTTCAACAAACTGCTGATTTACACATTTTCGTTTTTATTAATAAAGTACTTACAGATTTTTTTTGATACTTACGTTCGGCGTTTCGAGTTAATTTCATCCTCGGTTTCAAATATCTTTACATAACATTTCATTTCACAAAAAATTCACAAACCCGTATTTACTTTCGCCGTTCTCCCGTGACCTCAGCCGCTTCACCCACGAGTCACCCGCGCATGACCCGCTCATGGACAAAGAGCCCCCCCCCACCTTCCTCCCCCCACCCCCACTCCTCGCTCACTGACAACAATCACCACATACCCTTTAGTCACTTTTTAGAGCCATTCTCGATCGTCTCTAAACACATGACGACAACCCCATCAATATTTAAGCCGTCGTCATGCCCAAGTTGTGCATGGCATGAGGACAGGAATGAATTCAGACCCCCTCTCCCTCCCTGGCAGAACAGGCGCCCGTACACAAAGGCTGCAGTGCAATGGCAGGCTCGCCCACGGGTGTGTCTCCTGTTGTTTACCTTGTATGGGATGAAAGTTTGTTTTGGTCCAAGATGCTGTTTTCCATCTTTTTTTCCTGATCCTTGGGAAATTAAAATTGCGTTCGCGTGTGANTACCCCTTTAGTCACTTTTTAGAGCCATTCTCGATCGTCTCTAAACCACATGACGACAACCCCATCAATATTTAAGCCGTCGTCATGCCCAAGTTGTGCATGGCATGAGGACAGGAATGAATCAGACCCCCTCTCCCTCCCTGGCAGAACAGGCGCCCGTACACAAAGGCTGCAGTGCAATGGCAGGCTCGCCCACGGGTGTGTCTCCTGTTGTTTACCTTGTATGGGATGAAAGTTTGTTTTGGTCCAAGATGCTGTTTTCCATCTTTTTTTCCTGATCCTTGGGAAATTAAAATTGCGTTCGCTGTGAAGGGAGGGTTGGCGTTCGGCGTGAAAGGTTCAGCAGAAGGAATCGCCGATGAGTTCAAAATAACAGGTTATCTTTCCAGAGGTGTGAGCAGCAGCTTCGAATATGAATATCACCATGTTATATCAATATGCATAAGCATGGTGTTTTATACACACACACTAATATATGTATGTGTACATATAAACACACACACATATACTTATACTATATTATATATATATATATATATATATATATATATATATATATATATATAATATATATACATATGTACATGTATATAC